TATTTGGGATTGGTGCCCCCTTACTTAAAAATCTCTTTGTTATCCATAGAAATCATATCGATTTTACTTACCCTTTTTCTCTTTTTATCATGAGAAATCCCTAGAAGATCTAATTAAAAGAAATTGAGTCCAAAAAGACAGTGAAAAAGATGACACATTTCACACACACACACACACATATATATATATATATTAAATTTTTGGAACATTTTTTTTTATCATTATTGCCTTTGCAACTCCTGTATATTCTAAAATATATAATCATGAGAGATTCTATTCAAAACGTGCTCTACGATAATCAATTAGCACATAACATTTCAATAAGTTCAAGAGATGTAATCAGCCTTCCTAGATTATTCAACTTATTCTAACAATCATTAATTAATTTCTTTTTTTAATACCAAACGCTATATATAAAACAATTTATCGGCTCCAACATGCGTGCACCCGTCGTGTCAAACGGTCCATCATCATGGGCCTTTGTACCAAAACCCCAAAACCAATTAAGCAGCAAACACGATAATAAAAAAAAACAATTAAAAAAGCCTAAAATATCGATAGCCAGCTGGTGGATGAGCCCCACCTTCGAATCACCATCCATCATGTACCCCTCTCATCAAACATCGATTAGAATCCAATTAAAACCCTCAAAAATAATAATAACAAAAAAAAAACTGAAATTAAGGCCAAGTCATAATCAACTTATGATTTGGCACATCAGCAATGAAGAAACGAAGATGAGTACACACTCCATCGGTGAAGCAGCAGCAGCACCTGATCGGCGTGATTTATGGACCGCTCTCCTCCTCCACCCTTCTCCCCGTTGCGTATCGAACTCACGATTTCATAAATTCTATAATGTCCCTCCTTCTTTAATTAAGTTTTATAAGTAAATATCGCATGAGATAATTAATTATATACACCCGTTTTTTTTATATATATATGGACAGTATATATGCAGATAGTGTATCATTTGTGATGATGTGTGTGTGTGTGTGTGTTTTCATGGTGATTAGAGAAAATTATAGAGCATGTTATATGTATGTGTCTACATGAATACATTGCATGGATCGAACGTTCAACTACGTGAAAAGCAAGCCATCAGGTCTGTTCAGTCTCAGACTTCAGACGCTCTTAAATATTTTCCTATTTTTTCTTTTACATTATATATATACATATATCCATATATATACACACACACACATATATATATATATATATGTATGTAGTTTTTGTCGGGTTTTCAGACAGGCTGCAGTGAGAAAGACTGAGATTCTTCTGTTCAGCTGCATGTTTCCCTAATTAAAAGCTTCCCCCCTGTTCCTTCTCCTTACACTTACTGTGTTATTAATTACTTATATGTACTTAAATTTTGTTATCGCCATTAACTTCCCTGAACTGCTAATTCATTTTATTTCCACACATATATTGCTGTATCGGTAAAATTAATTAGATGATCAAATTAATTTGTATCTTCTTAAATGAAAAAGGAAAAAAAATGAAATGAAAGAATGGTTAATGGGCATTCACTCACAAGTTAACGTTTTGTATAGTTTTAGGGAGCCGTTGTATTGTACTGTATATATTGTTAAATATTTGTCCTTTATGATCAATTATGACGGTGTTGAATTAATATTCCATTCCATATATAAGCCATCTAACATAAACAATTAGCTATCTTTCAAGATATAAATAAATATTCAACGGTGCTCGGTGACATGGTCCACGACTTTGATAAAGGTGCACAATCTCGTAAAAACTTGTGGGAATGTTTTCAAATTTTATATTTCAAATGATATGATTCGCTAGAGGGATATATATATATATATATATATATATGTTAATGTATGTGCACAGAACTATATAATGATAATGATACGGGAAAAGCCTAACATAATTAAAATACATATCGGTGCATAATATTATTTAAACCGAGATAATGATAGAGGCAACTTTCCATTTTCCAACAAAACAACAAAGCTTGCTTTTCGAGAATAATGATATATATCTTCGATATCGTAGACATTTTTTTAATATCATGAATTTATATATTGTAGAATCGATGGAGGTGCTTTACTCTGTTAATTAAAAGCCCTAGGTAATTTTGTCTTTTAGTATTTTTTATTTATCAGTCAAGAATATGACTATACAAAAGCCCTATTATATATTATCAAAACTAAAGGATCGAATATCTTGTCTCCGCAAAAAATTCTTGCAAAAAATTAAAGTTCTGATGGGAATGCTGTATCAAATGTGAGCAAACAATAAGGTTTGATGTGTTAAATAATAATAATGATGATGATGATGATGATGATGATGATGATGATAATGTTTTTATAAAAGTTTTTGAATGAGATGCGTCAGGAATTTATGTAATTTTTTTTTTCAATATATAATGGACGTGGTCGTAATCAATTATCAAATATAATATGTGACGTACCAAAAAAATCGGGCCCTACTCCCACATTATTAAATTTGTATCAGATATGATAATGGCACGCATATGTCTATGTACATCGTCCTTCTTGGTAGAGTTTAGAATTTGGTTTCACTTTCCCGCAAAACCATGCTACTTCCTCTAGCCCTTGCCAAAACTCTAGGGCACCTCTAGCCCATCAATATATACATATATATATGTGTGTGTGTGTATCGACGAGGATAACACTAATATATAGTGTATATATATGTGTGTGTTTATGACGAAAACAAAAACATTAAGGTTCATAAATATTAGATCCATCCTTCGTGGTTTTAGAAGTAAGAAAATGCAGTATGGATGCAAGTCATACGTACCATTGTTACCATGTGTGTGTGTGTATATATATATACAGAGTTCAACTGCTGGTCCTTGCATATGTATATTTATTATGATGAGAGGCGGTTTTTGGTATATTATTCAATTTAGTCCTCACGATCCTACAAAAGCAAAATTCTAACAGAAGTCGGTCGACCCATTAATTAGTATTTCCTACAAATTCAAACAAATATATATATATATAATCTGAAGATTTGTGTATATATATATATATATATATATATAACCCTAGCTAGTTGTTAGGTGATAAATACAAACCCTAGCTAGTTGTTAGGTGCTCAAGTCATGTAAGAAGTGATATTTTAATACAAGTTTTGCTAAGTATAAGTATAATTTAAAAGCAAATGGGGCCATATTAAGAAAGAAAAGCAAAACGACAGCGTTTGGTTAGGAGGACCGACGAGGAACTGTTGAACTGAGAGAGACCAGAGAAGTTGGATTCGTGGGGGGCTCTCACATGAGGCTATTTGTTTGACACGTGTCATAAGCTACTCATTCGAATATTAATTATATCTCTAATCTTGTTTATTCCGTTGGTATTAAAAAAGAAAAACAACGATTCATATGTCTCTTATGTTTCCCTGTTCTGCTAATGTTTATCACTGTACGTCTCTTTTGCTCCCTCTCTTAACCGTTTCCGGTTCGGTATTGGCTCCATCTTTCTATTTTTGACGTCTCTCTCTCTCATAACCGTTTCCGGTTTGGTATTGTTCAAATATTTTCTAGGGTTATTAGATTCTCGTATGATTACTCCATTGTTAGGTTGCATGCACTTGCACGATTAACTAATCGTACCAACAACAAAATAAATTCCGTGCACTTTGGAGTTAGAATTTTTTTTTTTTTTTTTTTTTTGCAAATTCCGGTTCAAGTTCTTGGGATGCGAACTCTTGTTAGTACCACTGCAAAGATTTTTTTTTTTTTTTTTTTTTTGAGAAATGCTATAGAAATTTACACTATACAAGTCACGTAACATCAAATCTGCTACTGTCTCCATACAAAGGAAGAAAGGTCCCAAAAAGATTTTCAACTTTATCCGTTTGTTATATATAACAAAACTTCAAAATTACATAATGGCTATTAAACCTCATATATATTCACTTAATCATAATATATATATATATATCATGATCAAAATACAAAATTTGCACAATATGACGACAAAAAAAAGAATTGGTATTCGTCACAACCTTAGAAAAGCGAACCCAGTTATACAATTTTCGATATCTACATTTATATTGTTATTATCGCCCGACTTTTTGTCATGCCAAATTTTACAATGTTTTTTTTTTAATATTATAATATACATTTTCTCCGCAACTATGAATTGTTTAGTATGAGATTGTTGTCAAAATTACTTACGCATACTCTCGGGATTTTGATGCCACAAATCCAACTTTCTCCATTTATAGAAAAAAATTATTTTATATCGAGAAAAATGGAAACTAAATTTTTTTTTTTAAAAAAAGGTTAGCATTAGGACGAACCAATAAAGTCTTTGAGTGGAGCATAAAGCCAAATGGTTAGGGATTAGACAGGTTGACATGTTAGGGAGCATAAAAGCCATTAATTTTGTAAATTCACGGAGGACCCCTCCCCGCATGCAGAATAACTGATTTTTTTTTATACAATTTAATGAAAAATATGATATCAGAAAATCGAAATAATTGCAAATTTGAATTTAGTTTTGTAAGCTACAAATTTTCGTAACTCAAGCTGCAAATCAAAATTATTAATCCGTAGATATATAAAACTTGGATATGTATATACCATATAATGACAAATATTTTTTTTTATGTTTTTAAAATTATTTAGATTACTATTTAATCTTTTTTAATCTAAAAAAACTATAATATTATTTAAAAACTACGAAATTTATTATTAATTTATTACACAAAGTTCAAATACCAATATATATCTAATATTAACGTATTCCAAAACTTAAGATATGAAATCATATGTCAAATTGTAATACCAAACATATTCGGCTACATATTTAGATATCTTAAAGTTGTCGAATACACAAATAAACCTTTTATTTCCTTTTATCCTTATATCGCATGAAATCTTTCTTTACATCTGTGTCAATCGAGTTCTATGTATATGTAATAGAATCTGGATTACATAAATGTTACGATTTTATAGTTTAATTGTTGCATAATCATTAGACATTATAATTTACACAACATTATTTGGAAAAAATATATTTTAACACGTTGGATATATATATGTAACCATTATATAGGACACCCTACAATGCATCCTTCAACTCAGCGATCCAAAAATTTCACAGAAAAGAAATTTGCTAATTATATATATATATATATATATATATATATATATATATATTTGTCAGTTACTGTCATATATATATAGATATATAGTCAAGCAGGGTTTGGTTATAGCATCTCTTATAAATATAGATTGATATTAGATACACAGTTGCAATTGCTTCAATTAAGTTTAATAATCTTAACTTATATAAGGGAGAATCTCTAGAATTCTTTTTGGCAAAAGATATTTAGAATCACAATGAAAAGTTGATTCCTTTCACATTTCTTTACTCATCATGCACCCATTCATTTTCTCAATTAAAATTTAAAATCTAATCACGAGCTTATGGGCAACTCCAATTAAATCAGATACTGTTAACCAAACAATATATATATATATATGTATATATCAATTATTATCCTAATTTTCCCTATAGTGTACATGTTTCAGGCCATCTCTTGTCCAAAATCGTTAGTTATTGATTTGGAATTTCCATGTAATCATTGCAAATCCGATCATTGATTTGGATTAAATTATCATACACGTATAATCCAGCTTCGGTCCAAAGAGATTGAAATCGGGAGACATATATATATACACACACAAAAAGCACGCACAAGTGTTTGCATCTATCTTCATACCTCTCCCACAAGAACAAAAAAAAAAGAGAGAAAAGAAAAGCCATGGGACCATCATCGCTGTAGCTTAAATTCGACCTTTTTCGTGGACGACACGATCCGTCTCTCTCGCTCTCTCTCTCTCTCCGTCTCTCTCTGTTAAAAAAGCTTAAACCTTTCCCTTTCTCCTTTCATTTTCTTCACTGTCGTCTCTCTTGTCTGCTGAATCAAGAGCAAAATCAATGGAAGGTCACCACCACCACCACCCTCACTACAGCATACCCGAGCTGCGGCAGCTCATGAAAGGTGGCTCCGGAGGCGGAGGAGGAAGGCTGGAGTCATCTTCTCCGTCGTCCCATTTCCCCGTTGCGGCGGCGGCGGCGATGATACCGTCGGAGCACTTCGGCTTCAATCTCGCACCGCATCATCCGCACCATCGTCTTCATCAGTTTGGAGATCAGGAGATGGGTTTCGTGCCACTTGGAATTCATGGGCTTTGCACCGATTCGTCCGCTGCTGCGGCGAGTAACGCCAGTAACGCTGCTACCGTTAATACCAATCTCGCTAATACCAGCGGTGGTGGTGGGTTTGGTGGGTTTCTTGACGGCGGAGACGGCGGTGGATTCGGCGGCGGGGATGGCGGAGGAAGCGGGAGGTGGCCGAGGCAAGAGACTCTGACGCTGTTGGAGATCAGATCTCGTCTTGATCACAAGTTCAAAGAAGCTAATCAAAAGGGTCCTCTCTGGGATGAAGTTTCTAGGTTAATTTTACCCTAATCCCTCTCTCTCTCTCTCTCCCTCTCTCTCTGCATTTTAAATTTGTTTCCTTTTGAAATATCTTATGAGAGTCTTAGGGAGGAGAAGCGGAATTTCCTTCCATTATGTTCAAGTTTACATCATAAGAGTTTATTGTGCTGTATTTTTTTTCTTAGTTTCGATCGTATTTAAGGTCGGAGAAGACGGTATTTAACGATTTTGTTACAAAAAACTAAATCTTTACTGTCACAAAGTGGTGGGTTTTCTTTCTGATTTGAAAAGATTTGACCTTTCATAAGTTTTCTTGTTGAAAATTAGACCTTTCAATGGAAGAGAACCCAAAAATCAAACTGTTTTTCTGCATTATTACGAGAGAATGACCTCAACCCCCCTTTCGGTTCCTCAATTTCAAGTTATTTTCTCATACTGATCAATGTATGTATATGTATATATGTGCGTGTATATATATCATCAGTTTGTGTCTATATATCCACATACAAACAAACATATACAAGCGTATATAGTGGAGTGCAAACAAGGGGTCGGTCCATTGTTCTAGTACTCGATTTGTTTGGTCAAGAGAATGACCAGACCTTGAGAGTTTCAGTTAAGACACTTCCAGGTGTTTCAAAATCAAGACAGAGAAAAAAAAATCTGTTCTTTGACTTGTTTTTTTTTTGTCATTGTACATACATATCGACTGATCAGTTCCGATTTGTCTTTCGGGGGCCTTCTGAAGATTTTTATCCTTTTTCTCCTTTACAAACACTTTGCATCGAAATCTGCCCCCAATGTTATAAAGCTGTTCTTGTGAAACTCTCAGTCCAAAGTGAGTTTCAAAGATTTTGGTCCGAAAGTTACAAAACGATGTGTAGAAATCCCCAAATAAGCGAAAACAGGTATGACGACTTTGGTGGGTCACTATCTCTGCTGTTTCATCAACGTCACGACAAATCTCATTTCATTTTTATTCACACACACACGTATATATACATATATACGTGTGTGTATTTCCATATTTGTTTTGGCAAGCTGAATGGTCGTATGCTTGATTATTGCTAACTGTAATTACCATTCGTGGCAAAGGAACTGTGATGCAACAGCACCACACGTCAATATCATATGACATTACATTTTTCATGACAATTTCTGAGTTTAGGGTTGCTGCAAATGATCTTGATCTTTCTCTAATTCTTGTTTCTTCTTCCTGCATGCCCTTTTTCTTGATTATGCGCAGGATCATGTCTGAGGAGCATGGTTACCATAGAAGTGGGAAGAAATGCAGAGAGAAGTTTGAGAATCTGTACAAGTATTATAAGAAGACCAAGGAAGGGAAAGCCGGGAGACAAGACGGCAAACACTACAGGTTCTTCCGACAGCTGGAAGCTCTCTATGGCGATCCCAACAACTCCGTTTCTTTGCCGGAAACACAGTTCACTGGCAATAATGCTCTTAATCATAATTTTCATCCTCCGTCAAGCAGCATGAACACTAATCCAGCGAACATTAATAACCCCGAGGCAGTGATCAGTAGCCTTTACCCTCTCCATCAGAAACTCTCGACCGATAATAGCCTCAGCCTCTCGAACAACTACAACTCGTCCGAGTTGGAGACTTCTTCATCGGATGACAATGGCAACGACTCAACTCGGAGAAAGAGGAGGGGTTGGAGAGCAAAGATCAAGGAGTTCGTAGATATGCAGATGAAAAGGCTGATGGAAAGGCAAGAGGCTTGGCTTGAGAAGCTGACCAAGACAATTGAAGATAAAGAGCAGCAAAGGATGGTTACAGAAGAAGAGTGGAGGAGACTAGAGGCTGCGAGAATCGACAAAGAACACTCCTTTTGGGCGAGAGAGAGGGAAAGGATGGAAGCTCGGGACGTTGCCCTAATCGAGGCCTTGCAGTGTTTGACGGGAAGGCCACTTAGGAAGGCGGCTTGTTCATCTCCCGAAGAAAGGGATCATGGAAATGAGATCCAAAACCACAGCGAGAACCAAAACGAGAACGGAAGCGATCAAACGACGACTAACAATGTATGTCTGAAAGGTGATGTGGGTTGGACTAAGGCCGAGATAAAAAAGCTTATGGAGATAAGAACAAGCATGGAATCGGGGTTTCAACAAGTGACGGCCGGCGGATGCTCAGACGAGTTTCTGTGGGAGGAAGTATCGGCCAAATTGTCTCATTTAGGGTTTGATCAGAGAAGTGCCTTGATGTGCAAGGAAAAGTGGGAGTGGATCAACAACTGCACGAGGAAGGAAAACGAGCAACTGAACAAGAAAAGGAAGGAGAATTCATCCAACTGTGGCGTGTATTTTCCGACAACTGAGGAAGATCCGATGTACAACAGCCATGGAAGTGGATATAACAACAACAGAACTACCGATCATGATCAGAATCGGATCAATGGCGATTCCTCGCCATCAAACTCAAATGTTGGAAATCCGGACGGCGCAATCGCTGGTAACGTGTGCTTCCCATTCTTCATGGGCGATGGAGATCAGAACTTGTGGGAAAGTTATGGCGTGAGGCTAAGCAAAGGGGAGAACCAGTAAGTTTTCTTTGTTCTTTTTTACTCTCTCTAGTGAAGAAGGAGGAGGAGAAGTCATGTGGTTGATGTGGTTGACTAATTCTTTTGGTTAGCTATCTAAGACCTTAGACTTATATCATGATCCATGTGCTTGAGGGGAAATTGTTGGGGTTTTAAGTGGATAATATATATCAATGTAAGGGAAAACAAATCTAAGAATAATATACTGAACTAGCTAGGGTTTAACCGTTGTTTGTTTTATGTGTATCTATATATATATATATATGTGTATCTATATATATATTTTGTAAACCTCCTAAATTATTAATCTCACTAGCTATTTGATTATACATGTGACTTGGTAATTTGCTTCTGTTGAGAGTCTCACCTACCATTAAACGCACGGGAATGTACATATGGTGCTCTTGTATATATATATATACACATACATACATATATATATACACACACACATATATCACCTTGGAAAATAATTATATTCCTTCATTAAGAAAGAATGATACATGTTTATTAATTAAGTCATAAATTCTTGTCTGAGTTGTCAAAACTATAAACACCACCATCATCATCATTCTCACATCATCAATAATATGTATCAAGTCACTGTATATATATATATGTGTGTGTGTGAGGATAATATATACATACACTTCTATGAACAGAAGAGATATATAATATCTTCCATAACCCTAACAAGAAGCAAGATGTATATATGTTCTGATCAAGTTCTGAGAACTACAATCTTATAACATTCAAGAATCAAGACTTTGACTCGGCTCGCGTCTCGACGCATGTATTTAATATTACATGTTTTTTAAGATAAGTAGTGGACTCGAGGGTATGGCATTTTCATTTAAAGGCGCATACATATACACGTGTGTGTATATATATGTATATGCATACAAACATGTATGTACACAAAGAGAGACAGGGACGTATGCAGATCAGTACAGAGGAGGAGGAGTGTAGTAAGAAATGTGAGAGAGAGAGAGAGAGAGAGAGAGAGAGAGAGTTCAGAGAGAAAGTGACCATTTGCCTTTTCCCCTCAGCTGAGATGACTTTCCTTGTCCCTATTCCCTATAACCATTTTTACTACAAATTCTATGCAATACTCGTTTTATTACATCATATTCGCTCCATATATTCTAGTTTGCACCATATATATATATATATATACATATATGCTATATTGTAGTTTTCTTTTTGGTAATGCTATATTGTAGTTTGCATTACAACGTTGAGTTTTTTTCTCTTGGATTGTATTTTTTTTCCTTCTAATACTTGAGTTTATCCAAAAAAAATATTATTTTTATCTGAAATTTGAAAATTTATAAAATCTTCTTCCATATAGAGAATCAAAGAAAATAAGGGGAGCAAGAAATTGCCCAAATCTGGGATGAAAAGCTTTTGCTTTACAAAGAACCGTCACTCCCTTTAGAGAGTTTTCATTAAATAGTCACATCAATGCATTTATATTCATAGTTTTTGTTCTTTGGACATGACCACTCTTGTGTTTTTTGGGTTAATCTCATAAAAATACCCGAACTTTTACAAAAATCGCAAATATATACCCGAACTATAAAATTATCATATAAATACCTGAACTTTTCAAAATTCCTACATAAATACCCAAACTTTTAAATTTTTTTCCAAATCAAATAAACACAACTGCTGATTCAGCAAAAAACTACTGGCTCAGCAAAAAAAACTGTTGACTCAGCAAAAAACTGCTGACTCAGCATTCAAAAATATTATTAAACATCTAAATATTCATCTACATGTATTTAAATTAATATATACATATAAATTCACATATATATACAAATATATATATATATTAAAAATAAAATTATTTATACTTAATAAAACACATATACACATAACTACAATATATATATATATATATATATCATTACTAATGCATATATATTACAATAAAAATAATTATAATTAAATTTATTATTAAAAATAATAAAAAAATAAATTTAATTATTAAAAATAATAATGCATTATTATTATTTTAAAATACTAATATATTTACATAATATATATATATATAATTATAATTATTTTTATGAATTATTATTATTATTATTAATAAATTTAATTATAATTATTTTTATTGTAATATATATGCATTAGTAATTATATATATATATATATTGTAGTTATGTGTATGTGTTTTATTAATTATAAATAATTTTTTTTAATATATATATATATTTGTATATATATGTAAATTTATATGCATATATTAATTTAAATACATGTAGATGAATATTTTGACATTTTATAATATTTTTGAATGATGAGTCAGCAGTTTTTTGCTGAGTCAACAGTTTTTTGCTGAGTCAGCAGTTGCGTTTGTTTGATTTGGAAAAAATTTAAAAGTCTGGGTATTTATGAGGGAGTTTTGAAAAGTTCAGGTATTTATATGATAATTTTATAGTTCAGATATTTATTTGAGATTTTTGTAAAAGTTCGGATATTTTTATGTGATTACACTTTTTTTTTCATTTTCTAAATCAAAATGCAATGTCTACAATTGTTTTTACATTGGATTTTTTTTTTAAATTAGATTAATTAAAGGACTGTTATAATATTGTATCCATCAACGCATTTAATTTTCCATGTAGATTTAATTTCCCTGTAATTATGCATAAAAAAATATAACCATCATATAATATAACCATTTTTAAATATAAATGGATATGAGCTATGTGTGATTTTTTATTTTTATTTTTATGAGTTTTTACTTTTGAGGGACAAAAAAAAACTGTGTACTAATCAGACAATGATTTCATGTATGATGAGCATAGGTTATATGATTTTGTAATCGATGGCCATTGTCTTATAGAGTTCAATGACTGAAGCTTTGCCGCTGAACCCTTTGATGCAATTTTTCATTGCCTGTTGATAAGTTTAGCCTCTGCCATTGTCTCTCTACTCTGCCCCCTACGAATAAGACACCGTCATATCTCATCATCTCTTTTACTATTTAGCTTTTTACATTCACTTATTATTTTTCTATTTTCTATAACCAAACATATAATATATATATATATATACACACAATTTGAAGATAACAAAAATCTTATCCAATCTAAAAGATATTATTTAGATAGTGATACCCATGATAAATTTATTCACCATTTATCAAATCAATTATACAGATTTCTAACACAAAATAGATTTTCCTTTTTTTTCTTAAAAAAAAAAGTGTTTCTGATATTTCATGTGAATAATAATTTTGGGTAAATAGACTAGATATTTGGTCGAGTAAAATTTTAATTTAAGAATAAGTAACATTACCATGAATGCTTGTTAATAACTGCCGGTTGGAGAAGAGATTGTTCTAAGCCCAATGGGCCTAATATTGGATCCAACTTACCGAATAAAGTATTCCGAAGGCCCATCATCAGTTCAATAGACAAAATGGGCTTTACTACCCTATATGCGTGTGAGAGCGCCCCACCGCCTTAATAAAACCACGCGCACGCGCACTTGCACTTCTGGCGCGTGAGTACCACGACAAAGAAATAATGGGTGGTCCGACTCCGAGATGTTTTGTTAAATTTTGCACAAATGGAAATGAGCGCATGAGAGAGCTTCACGTGGATTGTCACGATTAATTACGGGCAGATGTTTAGTTTATTTTTGATTCAGTTTTTAAATATATATATATATATATATATATATTTTCTATTTTTTTGTTTGGGTATAATTTCGATTTTTATGTTGAAGTGAGTTTGGTTATTATTCAAAAAAAATATTTCTTATATAAAACATTGTTTTTATTAATTTTTGGTATTTTTAAATTAAAAATGATTTGGATTTTGTTATTTAAAATTTTCTCTTTATATATATATATATATATATATATATATATATATTCAACGTTTATATTGCATCCCATTCAAATATAATTATATAGCGTTAGCTTCTGATAAATTCGAATATTCTTAACCAAACCAACACGCTCGTGTCTTTCATCACACTGCATTTTAATTTTAAAATTTTAGGGTCCTTTTTTGGTGCGGCCGTTATTATATTTTCCAAGAGTACATATAAGGAAACACCTTATATATATATATATAGACAACTAGAAAATTACAGAAAAATATTCTGGGCTTTCGAATATATTTGAGTTGTACCATGATAACAATAATTGTTGATTATTAAATATAATATTTATCTGCATAGGATTATAAGACATAATCTCCGTGGCAAAATTGTAAAATGTGGAGAGAGAATGTTTTTTATTACAAAAAAAAAAAAAAACTCTTTTCAAAAATCAAGAACGAGGTTTGAACCTTTTTCTCAGTACTTGTAGTCTTTGACGTGAAGGCTCTCAGAGGCGCCGTCTACGAGATTAGCGTCGCCCTTGTAGCCGCCGAGCGTGGCCTCAGAGTTAGCCCTGGCTCGAGCCAAGAAGGCCGCTTGTGCCTTCTCCACGTTCTCCTCCTTACCCGCCCACGTCTTGAGTGTGCTCTGTTGAAGGGCTCGTCCGTACGAAAACGTCAGGCTCCATGGTTTCTTCCCCTTGAGCTGGTTCATCGCGTTGAGGTTAACCGTCGCCTCTTCCTCGCTCTGCCCACCTGACAAGAACACGATGGCTGGGACCGCGGCGGGGACGGTTCGTTGTAGGGCTCGAACCGTGTGCTCAGCGATCACCTCGGGGGCAACCTTGGCGCTGTCGGAACCTGGAGTCACCATGTTTGGTTTCAGGAGTGTTCCTTCCAGGATGACGTGGTGGTCGTTCAAGGCCTTGTAGCATGCGGCCAGGACACGTTCCGTGACGTAAGCGCACTTCTCGATGTCGTGCGAGCCGTCCACAAGGATCTCGGGCTCGACGATCGGGACGAGTCCATTCTCTTGGCAGATGACGGCATACCTGGCTAAACCGTAGGCGTTCTCGTGGATGGCTAGTTCGGAAGGCTCGTTTGCACTGATCTTGAGGACTGCTCTCCACTTGGCGAAACGGGCACCGGCTTCGTAGTATTTCTTGCAGCGGTCACCGAGCCCATCGAGCCCGATCGTGGTGGTCTCACCGTTCGTACCAGCGAGCTCGACCGTGCCCTTGTCCACCTTAATACCGGGAAGGACTCCCCCTTCCTTCAACAGTTCAACAAACGGCTTGCCTAGAGAGTGACAGGAAACAGCATTGGAGATCATTGTCCTAAAAAAGGGACAAGAAAACTATTTATGTGTGGTTGGATGAGATGAGATTATATACCGGCGGCTGTCTTCTGGTAAAGGGTCTCCTCATAGAGGATGACACCGCTGAGGTACTGGAGAGCTCCAGGAGTGGTGAACAAGAGCTCACGGAGAGCACGCCTGTTGGTCTCGACGTTCTCTACGTTAATGCTCGCTAGACGTTTTCCGATTGTGCCGGTAGACTCGTCAGCGGCTAGAATACCCTTTCCAGGAGTGCCGATGTAAGCAGCATTGGCAATGAGCTCATCTGTAGATAAATTTGTCAAAACTTTCAGTACAACTATTCCGGACAAGGCATAGAGACACAAGGCTTGTGCGAAATGAGAATTCTTTGCAATTTGGTTCAATAGAAATCGGGGCTTCTTCAAGCATTGTAATGACTCAGAGCAATAAAAGGATTTGCAATGATTTGGACCAACAATTCAATTGCTCCTTGGAGATACGGAACTTGGATCAGCGTACAAGAAGAAAAAGAACAGCATACCAACACTAGGAAACAGAGCATACAAATTGAAAGAAAACCCAGTTTTTCAAACACGTAAAGCTTAGAATTAAACAAAAATATATTCAACGTTGTTATTGCGAATCTTTCTGGAAATCATTGTACTGATCTTAGGTTGTAAATTCCTCTGTCTTTTAAGGCAAAATGTCGGTCTCAGAAGAATATATACAAATTCTCCACCCATCGAAAATCATCAGAAACATATAAAGAGGTAGAAATCTTAGATCCCACCACCAAAAACAACAGAGAGTTCTTATGATCATATTCATGAGAATCAATACGATTTCCAACTACGACATTCAAACGCTCTCCCCAGGAAAATTTCAGGAAGAAAACAAGCGACAAATCAACGAAATCAGAGGAACATTTTGAGAATTCCTCCGAAACCTAAAACGGAAACGAATGCAAAGCGAAATCGGATCCAAAACACGAAAATGAGCGAATGATCGGGAAAAAAGTACCGGTGTATTTGCTCTTGAAGCACGACATAGCGAACGGCCGCGACGAAGGAGAGATGCAGAGAGAGAAAGAAATAGAGAGAGAGAGAGAGTTTGAATAATGATGACGTGGAGGGTAAGGGTGGGGTCAGAGGCCTTATATAGGTTGGCGACAGAGACTAACACGGCGACGGAGGAGGACCCACCAATGACCCGTAGGGATTGTCGCTCCGCGATTCTTTGTAGACCCCACCCCTTTTTCCCCACACGTGCCATCTCACGTGCACTTCCTATTTCTGTTTTTTTTAATCCTAACTATTTCGCTCTCCCTACCTATTTCAGTTCAATTTGGGCTGAATACTTGCAACTCGAGCAACCGTGAGAAAGATTGGGCCTGTAGTTGTCATCATGGGCCTTTAGTCCGGCCCATAAAGCCCATCATATCAATATCGGGCCGAAGCCAACATATATGAGAACTCCGAAGCTGACCCATGCCCAAAAAAACCACCCGCGACTGTTTCAGTGCATAAGCCTCGAGGAAAAGAAAAAACATATTCAGTGTATGTTTAAGAATCTATATTATTCCTACCGTTTTCAAAATAATTATTGTTTTAAATTATTTCACATTTTTTAAGAAAAAATAGAAAAAATCATATATACCCTTATTTAATGGTAAAAACAATGTTATCATTAATAATTTATTAGAATTTAATAAGGATAAAATTGGAAACTATTGTAAAAAAATATTTTGAAAATATAGAATGACAAATATTTTGAAATATGAAAAATAAGCTAAAACTATAAATATTTTGAAACGGAATATGTCACGAACTTGCACATCATTGGCTTGAAAACTTTTATATTAACTTCATCAACTCCCACCACAGAATATTATATACATAAGATAATATCGATAAAGGCTACTCCCGGGTCTAGGGAGATGTAGGTTGGGCGGAAGGCTCAGGTGAACCTCCTGGTTAACGAAAAAAAAGAAGAAGATAATATCGAATCCTTTTGAGCATATCAACCAATTACTCGAAATTATTTTTTGGATATGTGACCAAATAGTATATGAGAAGATATGAATATAGTTGTAACTCTAGTAACATGTAGAGAATTTAAAGCATGTTTGGTGGGTGGTTATGAAATAACAATTTATTTGTATAAGATTATAACAACATATATTAATAATAAAAAATACGTGTTTTTCCATATTATAACATATATAACACGGGCTAAAAAGTCTTGAGATTTCGGCCGTAAAGCACGTGAACTTTGCGATACGATCAATCCTAGTGGAGTGGGCACACTTGCAAAATATTCATTACACTAAAAAAATATAAAAAAAGGATTAAAAATTTTACATAAAAAAAGAAAAGAAAAGGCGTAAATATTAAAAGAAGGTAGTGGGAGTCGTCGACATGTGTGGACATGTGGACTCCACCACCATCCTCATTCCATGACGTCATGCCTTACGTCTTTGCAAAGTCTAATCCTCATATTTTATAGTTTCTTAATCAAAATTAGTGGATTTGCTTATGTTTGGGACCGTTGAGGCAATCGAATCGGACCACCTATCCTTGATTAACATTATAAAGTCTAATAATTACAACTCGTTCGAATAATCATGTAATAATCACACGATATAATAGATATGATGCAAATAATGTGCAATAAATTCATTTATGTTACTCCCATTGTTTTCCAAATCATTCAAAATGTTTCACATTTAACAGTTAAGGTAGTCTTTAATTAATCATTTTTTAAAATTACTATTTAAAAAATTGGATAAAGTATATAATAAAAGTACCCTATGATATATATATATATATAAACAAAAAATTGAAAAACCATCATCTACGGCTCATCTCAATGGAATTAAAACTATCCGACCCGAGATCCTTATACGGGCCGGGTGATAACCCGCCATCTTCCTCCAGAATCCGACTCACCCTTCTCTCTCTCCTCCAAACCCTGAGCCCCACAAACCCCATCGCCACCGTTAAAACTAAAACGGTCCCACAAACAAAAGCAATCCCCACCGTTGATCCGACCTCCCATCTCTTCCCCTTCCCTAC